AAGACTTACAAGACTTGAATTTCTATAATAGCTTTCACCACAGCAGAATATCCCAAAGTAATTTATATCTAATGAAATACTTTTTGTAAGTTTTATTTTTGCAAGACAGGAAATAAGCCAACCAAATGCCACACAGCAATTTCCTGCACACAGCTACGTGTTAATGACAAGCTAACCTGTGGGACAGTTCTGATGAAAGGTCTTTGATGTCAAATGTTAATTCTTTCTCCCTCTGCTGATGCTGACTGACCTGCTGAGTAATTCCAACATTATCTTTGTTTTTTTATTTATTCATTTGTGGGATGAGGGCGTCGCTGGCTGGCCAGCATTTATTGTCCATCCCTAGTTGCCCTTGAGAGGGTGGTAGTAAGCTGCCTTCTTGAATCTCTGCGGTCCACTTGTTGTGGGTTGACCCACAATGCCATTAGGGAGGGAATTCCAGGATTTTGACCCAGTGACAGTGAAGGGACTGTGATATATTTCCAAGTCAGGATGGTGAGTGGTTTGGACAGGAATGTGCGGGTGGTGGTGTTCCCATATATTTGCTGCCCTTATCCTTCGAGATGAAAGTGGTCATGGGTTTGAAAAGTGCTGTCTGTGGATGGATGGCATCAGGCTTCCTGAGGTTTGTTGGAGATGTACTCATTCAAGCAACTGGGGAGTATTCCATCACACCCTTGACTTGTGCCTTGGAAATAGTGGACAGGCTTTGGGGAGTCCGGTGGTAAGTTACTCGCCACAGTATTTCTAGCCTCTGACCTGTTCTTGTAGCCACTGTGTTTATGTTGAGTTTTTGGTCAATGATAACCCCCAGGATGTTGATAGTGGGGAATACAGTTATGGTAACACTATTGAATGTCAAGGGGTGGTGGTTAGATTGTCCTTTATTGGTGTTGGTCATAGCCTGCCATTTGTGTGGCATAAATGTTACTTGCCACTTGTCAGCCCAAGCCTGGATATTGTCCAGATCTTGGTGCATTTGAACATGGACTGCTTCAGTATCTGAGGAGTCACAAATGGTGCTGAACATTGTGCAATCATCGGCGAACATCCCCACTTCTGACCTTATGATGGAGGGAAGGTATTTGGGGAAGCAACTGAAGATGGTTGGGCCTAGGACACTACCCTGAGGAATTCCTGCAGAGATGTCCTGGAGCTGAGATGACTGACCTCCAACAATGATGGCCATCTTCCTATGTGTCAGATATGACTCCAACAACAGGAGGGTTTGCCCCTGATATCCATTGATTCTAGTTTTGCTCGGGCTCCTCTACACTACGCTCGGTTGAATGCAGCCTTGATGTCAAGGGCCATCATTCTCACCTCACATCTGGAATTCAGCTCTTTTGTCCATGTTTGAACTAAGGCTGTAATGAGGTCAGGAGCTGAGTGGCCCTGACAGAACCCAAACTGCGCGTCACTGAGCAGGTTATTGCTGAGCAGAAGCTGCTTGATAGTACCGTTGATGGCACCTTCCATCGCTTTACTGATTACAGTAGTAATTGCATGGGTTGGATTTGTCCTGATTTTTATGTACAAGATGTACCTGGGCAATTTTCCACATTGTCAGGTAGATTACAGCGTTGTAACTGTACTGGAACAGCTTGGCTCAGGGAACGGCAAGTTCTGCAGCATAAATCTTCAGTACTGTTGCCGGAATGTTGTCAGAACCCAAAGCCTTTGCAGTATCCAGGGTCTCAAACTGTTTCTTGATGTCACATGGAGAGAATCGAATTGGCTGAAGAGTGGTATCTGTAACGTTGGGGATCACTGAAGGCCGAGATGGATCATCTACTCGACACTTCTAGCTGAAGATTGCTGTGAAAGCTTCAGCCTTATCTTTTGCACTGATGTGCTGGGCTCTTCCATCATTGAATTTAATTGTCTGCCGCCATTCACAACTGGATGTGGCATGAATCCAGAGCTTAGATTTGATCCGTTGGTTGTGGGATCGCTTAGCTCTGTCTTTCATTTGCTGCTTATGCTGTTTGGTGTGCAAATAGTCCTCTTTGGTTAGTCTTGTTTCTGTCTATATTTCAGATTTCCAACATCCACAGTACTCTGCCTCTGTGTGTGACATTGGTTACAGGATGACGAGTGGCTGTGATGTTGGGAGGAACTCACCAGCTTGTCTTCAAAGTACTGCAATGGTATTTTTCACATCAAACTGGGAGGGTGGTGAAGTTTAGTTGAAAATCTCATCTGAACAACTGTTAGGTCATGTCTTCTGGGCACTTCATCAGGACAGATTGCTTTGCCCTGGCAGGAAGATGTTTTTGACTTATCATTTCTCCTGCGTCAAATGCTGTATTCTGCATGCCTTCATTTTGGACCAGATAATCAAATAATTGCCTTAGCTAAAATAAAGCAAGACTACTATTCAATGGACTAGTAGGAGCATTGGATTACTCTCAATTTCCTTGCTTGACGACTGACTGTCAGCTTTCCATTGCTGTACAAAACAGATGATATTCTAAATTCTTTCAGTATTGCTGGAACAAGATAGAGATCAGATGAAAGACCTGCACCTTACATATTCTGCCCATATGTCATCACATAGCAAATGCAAGCTCTAGTGGATATAATTTGCAGCCATGTCTGGGTGTGGTTCTTTGGTAACTGTTGATATTACTGTTGTAATATTGTAATATTGTGGCTGTGACAGTGGCAGGAAAGCTCCCTTGCTTTCAATGCATGGGACGTTATAAGAATTGAAGTTTTTCAACCCTCAGGTAGCAACCTAGGGAAAGGAACTGTGAGATACTGGCTCCTCGTTTGATTGCCATTGAAGCAAGCTAACTCAGGTAAGGCAAAACAAATCAGCATTGTCTATTGTTAGTCAAACTGACTAGTAACGTTAAAAAGTTTTAACGAATAAAGAAATTCTGTCAAATTGCATGGGCCTTTGTATCATGAATAAGTGGGATCTAATAACAGCAATGCAAGGTATTCCTGCAACAAAGATATCACCCCTCCAGGCTCTTTGCTGTCATTGATTTTCTTGAGTACAAGCAGAAAAGCAGATGCTTCAAGGATGACTAGAGAAGAACTTTAAAATCGGATCAAACGGATCTAATTAAAGCAGATTATTGATTTGGCTGTAGTGGCAATTTTAGGAAATGCTATTTGAACAGTGCCTTTAGCTTTCTCTTCCTCAGCAATACACGGTAACGAGTATTCCAGCTCAAAACTTCGAAAATCACAACTTTCCTGAATAAACTCTGACCGATTGTCATTTTTTTTTTCACTGTTATCAGCAAATTTGGACAGAAAGGATTGGCAATGTGTTCCACCAATACCACATCAGAACTCCCCCATTTCCCATAATTGATGGACGTTGAACAGCAGGGTTTTAAGGAAGGGTCATTCGTCTTGAAATGTTAGCTCTGATTTCTCTCCACAGATGCTGCCACCAGACCTGCTGAACTTTTTCAGCAATTTCTGTTTTTGTCTCTGAAATATCAACTTGCCTTGTTGCCTGACCTGTTGAGTGTTTCCCGAATTATCTGTTTTTGATTCCATCAGATTTTCAGGACATAAGTGGTTTGTGAGTGTCTGTCTGTCTGTCTGACTGCTATATGCATTTTATCTTATGTATAGAAACATTCTTTCTTCAGAATAGTGAGCCTTATAGTTTGGGTGTTGTGTGTGCGCGCTCAGGAATAATTCATGCTGATATCTGTCTCCCATCATTCATAGCAAGATCTGTTGGTTTGCTGAGCCAGAATTGAATTTTAAGAGAGCCCCATTACCTGTGATCCAGTTCTACAGATAGACCATTAGCATGATCCACTTTACATCAGTATCAATTCTAACCCCCCCCACCGGACCTGCCTTCCTCAAAGGCAGCATCTGACTTGTCATCTCTCGTCCTAACTTCAAAAGTCTCCCGTTGATCATTCTGCATGATTGTACTTCGGTTCCCTCCAAAGCCCTCTATTTTTTTTTTCCTTTCTCATTCCTGTTCATTTCAATGCTTTAGACAGATGACAATGCTTTTCCTCGGGAACACAAAATCCGATCAGGTTCGAGTCCTGGCAAGGGAGAGAAAGGTCATTCTCTGTTCTGGTTCTGCAGGTTGTAAAGTGACCTGAATGGTGTGACTCCAGTATAAGTATTTTCAACATAACTAGTGCGAGTTACTGCTGCTATCTTTTGATAATTGCTACGTCCAGTGCTTATTATTATTTAATTATGCTATGGCAATCAAGTATGCAAGATTTTCAATCTTGAAAGCAGGGGTAGAGCTGAAAATAGCACAAATAGAATGTACCAGGAAAAGAAATGAGAGAGAGGGCCTGACCAGGACTGAAGATGGGATTTTTTTTCTAAACCAGACATCATCAGAAGAGGGGTCAAGAAGCTGCAGGGAGATGGTGGTAATGTTACTGGACTTCTACTCAAGAGGCCCGAGTTAATATTCTGAGGGTATGGGTTCAAATGGCACAGTAACAACTGATGGAATTCAAATCTGATTAACAGCAGTGGTGATAATGAGAATTATTATGCTTTAGGGAAGGTAATCAGCCTTATTTGGTAAATCCTGACCTGATCTGGACTACATAACATAACTGGCTGTGAAATGGCCGAACAAGCTCACCAATTCAAGGGTAAATGGGGATGGACAACTGATACTTGGTTTTGCCAATGACACCTATGTCTCATGAAAGAACATTTGAAAAAAACACTTGAATCACAGAATCGCAGAACCTCTACAGGCCATTCAGCCCATTGAGTCCTCAACGACCCTCCAAATAGCATCCTATCCCCTATCCTATCCCCGTAACCCAGCATATCCCATGGCTAATTCACCTAACCTACACATCCCTGGACACTATGGCCAATTTATCCTGGCCAATCCACCTAACGTTCACGTGTTTTGGATATCATGAGATTTTGAGTGATATATCGTTCTGTGTAACAGGCATGCATGATTACAGCTATTTTTATACTACAGTCAACTTTACTGTTAACTCTGGCTTTTCTAACTTTATATGCAGCTGATACCAAAAGGCAACAAAGGCATTCAAAGTGATTGAGCTTTACTAAGCCATAAGAGCTAGCTTTCAAAGAAACACTCTTAACAAAGTGAGGAACAAGACAAACAGCATTTGATCAACACCACAATCCACTGATATCTGTAAGTATGTTTTGTTGCAGCAAGGGAAGATCAATGAAATAGGTTGTTAGAATGTCTTTGAAGGACAGTGAATATAAAACCAGAAGGATGAGACATATGGTGGCTGATTGGACTTGTCAGTCTTTTCTTGTCCCTGGTTTCTACATGCCCAGTTAACAATATCCAATTGTTATAATGTAATAGTTGCTCACTGAAGTCTAAAGCAAACCATGTAAGTACATGGGTTCACATCTTTTCACCTCAGCTTGGCAGTGCCTGTTGTATTTGACTTCAAAGCTATGGATGATTTACTTTTCAAAAAGTAATCATTTTAAACAAAGCCTTTTTATTTACATTTTGATTGAAAGAGGTGCCAAATCAGTGTGTAATTTCTTTGCCTTGTGCATCATATTTTAATTTCTGTATTGGCACAAGGATTATGTTACGCATATATACATTTAATGAATTAGGACATGAACGATAGAGGAATGCCACATGTAGCGGAGATTGTAAGAGCTGTTTCAATGGCCACTGGTAGCAGAGGGAGGAGACAGCATGTCAGTCAGAGAGAGTCCTCAAAGAAAAATGTCAAAGAAAATTGAACTTCCACTGCAAACATCACTTTCAATTCTTCCCATGATATTTCATCAGATTCTGCTTATCTCTTTATATTGATCTGTACTCATTCATTATCGATTTTCCCATCGTGGCAAACATCCTATTTGAAAGCAAAAGGTTGCTAAATCTCAGCGGAGGGCTATTTTTAATCTTGTTAACCTCTTTAGCTATATCAATGTGATAGCCAGTGGAGCATGGTTGGATACATGACATGGTTCAATGCAGAAAGTAATTCAGAATCAATTCTGAGGCCAGAAACATGTCACTGTGGGAATACAACTCAAGGCAGTAGAAACTAAACAAAAAAGGGTAATCTCTTCTATCATTAGAGATTGGTGATTTATATTTTACACAAAGCTATTAAAATATAGTCTATAGCATCTTTCCATATTTTGTTTTGATGAATTTTATAATCATTGTTGTAGATTGTAGGAAAGAAATTAATTTCTACTTAATGTCTGTTACAGGATTTTGTACCTGATCATTCTGCACTGATTACAATTATGCCTTAACCCCGACTCCTGAAAAATAAAATGGTGTGTTATTTCCAATCTCCTTGCCTATGCTTTTGCAGTTTTGGTTTTAACATGTATATTTAGGTTGCACTGTTTTCAGTTCTTGGACTTGGTTAGCAGTCTCAAAAAGAGCTGTGTTCAGGCTTATCCAAATGTGTTTCATACACCCCTTATTGCCAAGACAGAGGTCATCATGCAAGCTCTATCAGTCAACCAGAACTTATGCAAGACTTAATGCTTGACTCTCAGACTTTCAAAAACATGAACCTTCTACCTGCAGGGACCCATCCCTTCATTCAGAATTGTATTCAAGCCACAGTGAATGGCTTATGGACTGGATTTAATAGCTTTTTTTGGCAGGGAGTGTGAGGAAGATGAAATGGAAATTGAGTGCTCCACTTTGCTCCTGTCTCCACCATCCCAGCTCAGTGACTCAAGCATCAATCAAAAGGTTTTTGCCTGGTGGGAAGGTGGCTAGTTAACCATGTGAAGGGGAGCTCTGCATTCAGTCTGAAGTCTATCCTCAGAATCACCTGCAGCAGAGGGATTACATAATGAAGAGGATGTCATAAAGGCCCCCGGTTCTCTGAACATGTTTAGCTTCATATGGAAAGCTCAAAAAAGTCAGTGTGAGCACAAAGATCATTAGTAGTCTCTGCTGCTCTGCACCACTGGAAAACAGTGCCTTACATCCTTCTACCACTGCATAACTGCTGTAAAATACTCCGAAACTCTTTCCCATCTGATGCCCAGAAAATGCAGCAGGCATCAGAAAATTGCATACAAGTAGGTCTCTTATTTCAAATATCACGATCTGCCATGGTGGGATTTGAATTCATGTTTGCAGAACGTCAGTCGGGGGCTGGATTACTCATCAACTACACAACCATCTTGTCTTCAGGTAGCTCTTTAGCTTGTTATTTGATCACTTCAAACTGGTGAGGATTTGAGGTGGGAGGGTGATGTGCACATGCCTTTTGTAATTACCAAAGCTGTCATGATGATGTCTTAATTCTGACCTAAAGTCATAAAGGCATGTTTTACCTTCCATCAAATCCTGCCTGATGTCTCTCTCTTGCTCCTATCCTTTCCAGAGCCCACATCCCTTTGATAAGACCGTAGGACATAGGAGCAGAAGCAGGCTATTCAGTCCATCGAATCTGCTTTGCCATTCAGTGAGATCATGGCTGATCTGATAATCCTCAATTCCATTTTCCTGCCTTTTCTCCATAACCTTTGATCCCCTTACAGATCAGAAATATGTCTATCACAGTCTTGAATATATTGACTGATGCAGCTTCTCTGTGGCAAAGAATTTGACAGAGTCACTGCCCTCTGAGAGAAGAAATTCCTCCTAAATTCTATCCTAAATTTGAGATTCTTTTTTCTGAGATTCTGCCCTCCAGTCCTCGACTCTCTCACAAGGGGAAATTATGTTTGAATGTAGATATTTTTGAAGATTTATGGGATGATAATTTTTAAGGAATTAAGCATATAACACCTCTGCAAAAACATAATCATTTTTACATTATGCATATGTTAAGATCCCACTGACTGCAATGCAACAAATAAACAATTATTGTTGTTGCCTTTTCTCATGCAAAACCAAAGTGGAGAAGATGAGGTAAAATTAAGGGTAGAAGGTTTGGATTTTAAAATTCTCTGGGTAAAAGAGAAAAAAGACTTAGGAAAGTAAATGTGCCTTGTCTTGCTGATCTATGGTCTATGATCTGGAGGAGGTGTAGAGCTGGCTTTTGGAAGGATGGACCTCAATCCTCATTGGATTATAATGCAGATAATATTAAGTCATTACCTCGTGGAATCATACCTTAGCTGATCACCCTTAAAGAAAATTGAGTGAGGTCAATCCAATACTGTCTATTTTACACCATTGCCCTCAAATTGAAAAGTCCAGCCTAAAGGTTGAAGTGGAGAAAGATTACGTTCATGGAATATCAGAGCTTTGAAGGAACAGGAACAGCAAATTCAGAGGAGTAATGGCCGGACAAGTAATTTTTTCAAATAGTAAGAAAGATTGACATGTTAGAGAGTAGAGGTGAGTAAAAGATAGCATCATTTCAAAACATACCTTTCATCCTGTCTCGAGGGTGGAGGAACATTACTGTACATGAATAAAACTTATTGACTCTTTTACCGATGTAGCTAACAAGATGAATTCACCCCGGTAATCATTTTCCCTGAATGTAAGCTGCAAAATATATAGCTTCTCGACAATATGTATGAAGAAAGCCAAATGAAACTTCCATAACTGTGGGATGCAATGCCAATTTGTATGAATCTTATTAAAATTGCCTCATTATAAATCATGGTCAAATGCCCAGTTCTCTTGTGCTTTTAACTCGATAAAGTAAATTTTAATCTGAAATGTGCTGCTAAATTGGATTTGTTGTCTGTAGACACAGTCAAACTGGTTGGTACCAGAGGAAATGTCAGAACGTGTGTCACTGCCTAAGTTATTCTGCTTACCATCCTTGAGTTTTTCTAATCAAAACCCTTTGTGTAAAGTCACAGAAGGCACCTATTTCACAAGGTTGCTAGAACACTACTTTTAAGAATTTCTGCAGATAATACACAAGATCAATAGGCTTCCAAGAACACATACTTTGACCAGTTCATTGGATAACATCAAATTAGAAAGATTACATGCTAAATAAAGATTGAAAATGTTGAAGAAAAACAACTTTTGAGTTAATTCAACATATTGCTTGCTGTTAGGAGCTAGTACCATCTTGTACTTATCAAATGACAAGATAATGAATGAGCAATCTATCTGGCAGAATGACATAATTTGATCTATAAAGGATGTAAATTGGAGACCAACTCAGTACAATTCCTTTTTAATTCAAGGCACTCCTGACATAACAGTTCTCAATTAAGGTTTATTTGACATGAAAGCATTTGTTCAAGATGTTGATGTACATTGCCATTAGTAACATTGTTTTATATTATGCCTTGCAATTTTTTCCCATTAAATAATGAGCCATAACTTTGAAATGAAGCACCAGCTGGTTTCTACATGTTTGAGAAAACTGATCAGTTCAGAAACACAGTGAATGCGAGGACAGTGACTGATTTCTCCCAATAGGTTAAGGAATGAATGGTTAGGATGGAATCGGAGTCACTTGAACTGCCAATGTAACACAGGGATCTAATTTCTTTAATTAAATATCTTTTGTCTTGGATCAACTCAGATTTTAAGATTATTGTAGGGCATAATCCAGAATGGAATATTGTGAAACTAGTTAAGAATTGTGTTTACTCCGGCTGAATGTTTATAATCAGAAAGTCTAATTGCTAAAAGTTAATGCACCTGAAAATAAGATTGTTTTACATTTGTAATCAAGTGTGGAGTTTGGAGTGTGAAAATAAATAAATGAAAACTAACATTTGCCTAACACTTCACATCCCCAGGAATACTGCAAGGTACTTTTGGAAGTGTATTTTCTGAAGAGAGAAATCCTGGATCCTTAAAATATTTAGGACATTTATAACACAATTAAAGCTAATTGAAATTAAGCAGGCTATTTGGTAACATTCACAGGCATCTTCTTCTCCTCTGAAATCTTACAAACATAAACCTAAGGGGCTGAATCTTCCATTCTTTTGGCTAAGTGCAAGTTGTGTTGCTTTTTTCAAAGGGAATCTAGCCATGAAAACCGAGCGAGATTTCTCGCCATATTTTACTAAATTTACCTCATTAACCCAACCCTCTGACTTCCTTCTAGTCTGATTCTAGCCCCATTTACCACGTGGCATTTCCAGGACAGCTCACCACTCACTAATTATCTGCTGAAAGACTGGCATCCCAGGTGCCCTGGCTATAATTAAAAGGCTGTTGCACTGGCATTCCAAAGCTGTCCTGCTCGGTGATAGGGAGATTCTGAAAGTATCAGTGGAGAGGGAGACGGCAATGCAATTCTCTGGCGAGGTCCTGGTGGGTGGGGTGGTGCAAACGAAGTGTCTCCCTTTCCCTGAGGACTGGCAAAGGAGGTCAGACTCTGGCAGCAATGTCCAAGGTCACCCCTCAATCTCAATGGTTTGGAGGAACAGCCCCAGTAGTGCTGCAAGAAGGTCAATGACCCATCTAATGTTGTGCCAGGGTAAGTGCCAAATATTTTTCTCTGCCACCTCACACTCACTGTATCATAAGTATTGCACTCACCCATCCTCATAGCTCATGCTCTGCAAGTATCACTACTGCCTGCAACATTCACCCTATCCCCAATCCCCCAACACCACTAACTCTGCCTGACCACTGTGTGCTGCCAACTCACTCCCTCTGAACACCTTCCCCTCACCTGCACCAACAGCTTTCTGCTCATTCAATCCCTCTCTTCCTGTTATTACAAGAGAACGCAGAAATAGAGCAGAAAGGCCCAGATGGAGATGGAGATACACCCAACATTTCACTCCCCAACTTAAACGAGGAGTGAATCCTGATACTTGCAGGAGAAGACCAGGAATGTTCCTGCTGGGGAATGCAGAGAAATCCATGTACCCAGTAAGTACCCACTCTTCATTCCACTGCTACTCTCACATTAACCCTGCTTTCGCTCTTCACTATTGCAGACCACTTCGAATCACTGCCTGCAATGCTTTCTCTCACTTTTGTCTTGGAGGTACCACCACCCCTGCAGAGAAATATTAACCCCTGCACCCCTCCCGCCAAACCCGATGCCCCTGCTTCCTTCCTTCTTTGGTCACATCAACAGTGGATTCAAGATGTGTCTTCAAGGTCTTCAAAATTACCGCCATCTGGATTTTCTGCTCCTCAGAGAGACATTGAAACTCATAGCCGGAGTACTAGGCCATTTGGCCTTCAAGCCTGCTCTGCCATACCATATGATCACGGCTGCTCATCCGTCACAACACCATATCTTTATCTCCATGCCACCTGATGCCTTTAATATTGAAAAAAATCATCAATCTCTTTCTTGAACATTCTCAATGACTGTAGTGGTAGGCTTTAAAAAATGATATCTCCAAACCAGACCATTAAGGGTTAATTGGACATGACAAT